AACATTTTTTGTTATTTTTTAAGAGTAAATAAAGACTGGAAGTCTCAAAAAGCATCATTTTTATTCACCAGTCATTTTGACTAGTGTGGTAGAAATAGGTATACTGACAATGGTGGTATATCTTGTGTTAATGCTCTGAAAATATGTTTATAACAAATTTAATTCTGTAACAAAATATTTTTATTAAAATATATTGAGGCTATTATACAAAATACAGTGTAGAATAAAGCACATAAGTTTGTTTAATCGTTGCATTTACAATAATGTAATAATTATATGTAATGATTGATTTTGTTAAAAGGAAGGTCAAATCGTCTGAACGACAAGTTAGACAAAAAGGGCTTTTAGCACGAAACGTGTTAAAATTGTAAAACGATAGTAAAAATGAAGATAATAATAATAATAATAATAATAATAATAATAATAATAATAATAATAATGAAATAATTGATTTTGGATGATTTTGTAAAATAAAAAAGGATCGATTATCATAGTAACATCGATCGAGTATAGGACATGACCGCATTGGCGTGCAAAGTTGTGCAAGTTGGTGTGTGCGACCTGACGACCTAGCTCTCCACCAGGTACGTCTATGTATTATTATCCCTGAAGGCTTGTTCACCTTCCGTCACGATTCTCTCAACCTTCTTGCAGCAGGTACTCTTTTAGATTTGTTGACTTCCTGTGCGCTCACTAACACACTGACGAACCTGTTGGTATCGTCGGCTGCTATATATATGTCTCTTTGAAATCGATAATGTTCGAAGAAGAACAAAAACCAGTGAAAAACAGAGAGAGAGAGAGAAAAAGAAGGTGGGAAGGGGAGAAAGGGGGAGGGGACCAGGAATGATAGCCCATTTTACCACGACAAACGCGTGGGTAGATTTCTGACGTCACGAGAAAACAGTCCTCTCTCTCTTTCTGTCTCTCTTTGAGAGGATCAAGGTCAGCGAGGTGTCACTGAAAACTTGATCGGAAAAAAAAAAGAAAGGAAAGAAAGGAATGAAAAAAATAATAAAAATAATAACAAAGCGTCTAAGTGTGTGGTCTCTCTCGAGATTATTTTTTTAATAAATAATAATAATAATAACCGAGTTCTTTTTAACTTGTTGCAAGAGAAAAAGGTTTTAGTTCTGGTGTGCATGTAAAAAATTAATATAAATAATAATAAAAAAGATGAAATAATCGTTGAATAATTTATTCCGATAATTAGAATAAAATGAAGAATATTATTATAATGGATCATAAGAATAGAAGGAATAATAATAATACAATATAAAAAAAGTGGTTCCAAGCTTAATCGCACCTTGCTCAGGATACCTCAAGGTCAACCAGAATAGTTCTCGACACGAAGAAGAAGAAGAAAGAGGAGGACAGGTATTCCCATTCTTCGAAGAAGTGTCACATACATACGAATAAAACGCAAACGATTCTAAAAACAGTGTGTTATGCATTAATGTATGTTATAGTACTTTTATTGGCCATTTTCTTCGATGGATGATGAATGGCAGAACCCCCGTACCGCAAGGTACACTGAGGTGAACGTTTACGTTCGTGGGTGAAAGGAACACGATACGCGATACGAGAATTGTGCTTGATCGATCATTAAATTCACGATACTTCGATCTTATTTTTTTTCTTCATTATAAAAAGAAAGAAAAAAAAAAGAAAAAAAAACTAAGAAATAAACTTTGAAGTGTAATAATAACGCAGGTACAGTTTCAATGTGAAATCATTCGATTTTTGCTTCTAACTTTCGTGACCTACATTTTCTTGACGTTCTACTAGTCGATGTTGCTACTTAAACTATTCGGATATATCAAATCATACGAAATATCGTACGATCACGTGAGTCAATAAAATTATATAATAATAATAATAATAATTTGATGGGGAACGGGGGGGTGTAAGAGAAAACTTGATGAATCATTTAAATGCATACTTTTTATAATTTTTTTCCCCTAATTATTGATATTATAATTGCTGATATCGATTGAACCCTGATATTATTATTATCATCTTCAAATCGATTAACACTTTACGTAACACCGAATAGAAATGCAGTTTGAGTTGTCTAACTGAAAATAACGATGAAAATTATTTCTAAGGGACTTAAAATCAAAACTCGTTACGATGGAATAAATCATTAAGGCGTGAACGAACAATATGCGTGACTATAAAAAACTAGGAGATACTTTGGCCCTTCGCCCCTTCGCGCGCCCTAAAATCATTGGGATAAAAGAAGTAAGCACGCGACCATACAGTTTCTATGCAACTTCTTATTTTTTTTTATTTTTTTTTATACGTTTCGGTATATTTAACATTCCTTCTATATTAATCCAATTTATCTATTTAGATAATCGAACGAATATCGAATATTATTTGAGGAAAAATCTTGTCGATAAAATAAACCTCAATGAAAATTTGTCGAGTATTGACGCGACGTTATTTTTCAATTATTAAAAATAAATAAATAAATCCAAATCAAAACAAAATTCATAATCACATTGAGATTATCGTCGATCTCTACGATAAAAAGATAATTACGAGTAACCTAATCTTAATCGAATACGATATAAAAAAAAAACAAAGAAAAATATAAGAAGAAAGAACATGTTGCAACACGTTACACAAATTATTATTATCATGCACATCACATTCAATAAAATGTACTTTTACTTTGTATGAATATGAAAAGAAGTCTTGAAATATAAAACTAGATCGATGAGATATATTTAACTAACAATCGATTAGTTCCATTCAACCTTATCTCTATTTTATCATTGAAACATTCAACGCGAGAGTAAGATTAATTATTGTAAGAAGAAAACATTTTTTAAACGATCGTATCCATGTGTAAAAATTCAAGCCAGAATAATAAAAAATAAAAAAAATATTTCTCGACGAATTAAAGGATATCGATGGATGATCAATTCGATTGACGATCGATCGATCGATCAAGTCCTTGATCCTTCCGAAAGAGAAAGCAGGATTGAAAAAGAAGATCCTTGAAAGGAGAAGATCGCAACAGAATCAAAGGAATTTGTAAAGACACGAAGAGGGCCGATACCTGTCGGCAGTGGAGGGCGCGTTCACACCGGAATCGATAACCACGAGAGAGAAAGAGAGAGAGAGGACACCTAGCAAGTGGGTGGCGAGGATGTTACGATGAGGGTGGTGCTGCTGCTACCGGTTGGTAAGGCGAATTTTCCAAAATGATAGAGGTCATACCGAACAAAATAAAAAAATTAAAAATAAAAAGTAAAAACCCCAAATGCGTTTATTTAAAATATTGTTTCCTTTGTGATAACGTCAAAGAAAGATGATAAAGAAAAAGTAAAAAAAAAAAAAGAGGGAGCAACTATTATCACAACGATAACAAATAATCGTCTAAACATTCGAGACTCACCTGTGAAAAGATTAACTCGCGCGTTATAGAACCTCGTGGTGTTGTCGTGGTAGATCCGATAAATCTCGGTGCACTCGAAGGAGAAATTAATCAAACGCGAGAACAGGTAAGAGAGACGGAGAGGGAGGGAGAATGAGTGAGAGAGAAAGAGAATAGGGAACGGTGAATTATAAAATAAAATAGAGTTTATTAGTAGAAACAAATGTTGATAGAAAGAAGAAAGGATCTTTTTAAAAAGATCGCATAAATGTTGAATCGAAAATCTTTTAAGGAATAATAAAACGAGTGTTATCAAATGGATAAATTAATAGATGAAAATAATTAATTAATCAAAGGAAAGGGAGTGAGTGATGGGAAGAAGTAAAAAAAGAGATAGAAAAATAGAAATAGAAAGAGGAACAAATAGAACAGGACAGGGCGCGAAGGTTTTTATCGTAGCGGCGGCATTTTCACTGATGAACGTAAGAGAAAGATAGAAAAAGAACGTTGAAGGCACGACGATGACGAGGACAACGAGGACAACGAGGATGAGGACGAGGACGAGGACGAGGACAACGACTATGAGGACGAGGACGAAGCCGCGTAAAGTCCTCCTCCTCCTCCACTTCCTCCAACACCTCTTTCGCGGTTTTCTCTCGTCAAAGAGAGAGAGAGAGAGAGAGAGAGAGAGAATGAAAGAGACTACCACCGGTTCGTTCTCGTAAGGATGACGACTGAGTCAACTCGCGAAGTCAACTCACGAAGACAACTCTCGCGATCTTTCACTTGCTATCGGTCTCGGACACCACGGCCCGAGTGCGCTGATCCAAGGTTCCCCTAAGCGCAAGCGCACACTGCGCACTATGCCGCGCACGCGTCACCACCAACCAGGCCGCGTTATTTTCTTTCTACCGTCGGCTTTCTTATCAGCCGTGCCGACGACGACGACGACGACGACGCCGACGTCGTCTAAATCTCTCTCTCTCTCTCTGTTCCTCTCTCTTTCACTCAATCATTCTATCTTTCTCTTTTTGTAGCTCAAACCAAACCGCACGCGTGCGGTATGGTGAGCTAGCTAAACATGTACACTGCCGCCAACAACGCTTGCGCAAATCCTCTACGTCTACCTCTACCTCTACCTCTCGTATACTCATTTTTTTATTTTATCCCTTCATCTATAATTAAACACATTTTCTCGAGAGTAGAGAAACTTTTTATTAATAATTATTACAATTTTTTATAATATGTAATTATCTCTTCTGTTTTTTTTAAGATTGTTTCTAATTAATTATTAATTACTTAAATTTGGGATTTGGGTTATTAGGAACAACACGATGGTTTTTTAAAACGTCAAGTATGAATCACACACATACGTAGTTGAATTATTTTTTTTTAAATTTAAGTATTAAAGAGTTTGTATTTCGATCAAACGTTGCACATTATATTACTATTTAATTTTGTAATTTATCTTATTACAAATTAATCATCATCGCCACACTTTTGTATACTCGTGCCAGATCTAAATTGTTATGTACAAAACAGTGCCATGTAATATTTTTATCTTTCTTTACTACACACCCCTCTCATCACAAACACTCTCTCTCTCTCTCTCTCTCTCTCTCTCTGTGTGTGTGTGTTTTTCTCATTCTTTTCTATTCTTTCTCTCTCTTTGATATATCAAACAAGGACCTTGCGAGAAGATCGTCGAGTGCCACGAACCATTTCTATAGCTCATGACTGTGGTTCACGATCTTCTCGTTGACCCATTAACTTCTAAACTGCCCTGAGACATTGCACTTTCTCATCAACTACCATTCTCACCTATCTTTAAACATATGTAACTATTTTTACGTATACGTATTTATGTGTATGAGCACGTATGTGTGTTTATGTGTAAGATCCAACAAAGTTAAAAAATAAATCTAATTTATCACTGTTGTTCGGGGTGAGAATATATTTGATAATAGAATATATATACACATATCCGACGACTAAAAGTATCACATCGGATCGATTATGCTACCATTTACTACGATATGTAGACCTACGCGATTGTCAACGTTACGTAACATTGCTCAGCACTTGAGAAACTTTTTGAATTTTATAACATACGAACACGCACACATGATGTCTATGGTAATCAGTTTTCGATTAGATTATAGATAATAAAGAAATATTCTCGAAATTTTATCGTCTTCTTGATGCATTAATAACTGTAAACAAAACTAAAAATTACAAAGATATGATTATTATTGATAAAATATTAATAACAGATACGCATATAGTACTCACCTGTTTAAACAGGATCAGGAATTGGAATCTGTTGTGTTCGACCGTTCAACATATCGTCGAGAAGTACGTTGATTTCCTTAGATGAAATATATTGCAAATTATTATTATTATTATTATTATTATTATTATTATTATTATTATTATTATTATTACTATTATTATTATTATTAAGGATTTCATACTTATAAGTAGTTTAAAGATATTTCGAAGATCATTGAAAAGTTTTTTTTTTTTTAAAGAAATCGAAAGTATACTTGTTACGAAAGTATATTTCGTTACATGATTTTACAATAGAACTTTATCTGAAAATAACTATCCTAAGCGATATATCTTAAAAGTGTACTACCTCTTCCCTTTGAACTTTGAGTTTGTCGATAATGGGCTCGTTAAAGTTAGGATCGTTACTTGGGTCTTCTAAAGTGGATTCTTCGTTTCTCGTTATTTGCGGTACACGAACTATGAAAGTCTGTTTAATGGTGTCGAAAATCATAGATGGTTTCGAATAAGGTAATTGCAAATCGATCGACGAAAACGAATCTGAGCCAGGTGATATGATCAAAGGTTTGTCGTAACTCGTAAATTTCCCTTCTCTGCGTTTTTACAAATAAACATTAAAAAAAAATATTTACGATGAGAAAATTAATCGATTAAAATCTGGATTTGAAATAAAATTAACTTACGAGAGAACAGCGCCAAATCCAATATGACATAAAAGATCTTTCGTTTTTCGTAAAAGAATTTTATCTTTGGAAGAATAATAATAAAGTCCTGCACCTAAACTGTGTGCAATTGCTCTTAATGTTCTTCCTATTATTTCTTTTTTATCTAAATCAAAATCCTTACAAATGTCAAAAATTAATTATCAAAATCTAAACGACAGTACACGAAGAGAACTAAAAAATAGAAATACCTGAAATTCGTCGTACTTTCCTCCAATGATAAACGTTTTTAGGGGTAAAAGATCGATCATTTTTTCCACATTTTTTCTCTCATTTGTTCTACACTCGATCATATCATTAATTAGTTTAGAATCGTAAGAAATTTTCAATGCGCTTCGTACGGCCGATAAAATTTCTTCGAATGTTATCCATAATAATTCTGGTTTCGATAAATCCAGCATCATCAATAGTGTCGTGTGATGGGGCGAATGGGTTAAGGCCGATCCACTTATAGCAGTGGATATTAAAGAAGAAGCTACGTAACCGATTTCCCATACGTGGACTATGTTTTTTACCTAAATCATTTTTTTTTCTTTTTATCTCTTTCACATTCTTAACAAAACAATTTCACGATATAAATATACATCCATCAACTTACTAAACTTTTGCCAGCTTTTCTTCCAAACGAATATTCCATAGCAATCGTTGGCTTCGGTTTTTCATCTTTTTCGAGAAACCGATTAATCATTGTAGTTTTACCCTTAACAACAAAACCATATTTATAATAATGTGTTTCCTTTTTCATTAAGTCAAACATTTGTTGAAACTTTCAATTCCTATACCTACAACACTTTTACTACCAATGATGATAATTGATCTCTCGCGTGTCTCTTTAGGATCTGTTTTACGATTTTCTTCTTCTTCCATTGATACGCGTAACGCCGATTCCCTATCATTCTTTTCCATTTATAAGACTCGTCTAATATCTCTTAGAAACAGAAAACACCTTGAAAAACGATAAATGCTCACGTGTGCTCGTTTCTCTAGTAGTCTTTTGGTTACTGTTTTCTTAATTGTATCCATGACGACGACAAAATGGAAAGCTACGTTATGTTGCATAGTTTTCATTTATATATATATACACACATACTACATATGCATAGGATATATTTTAACTGAAGAAAATTTATTAACAATTAACAAAATTATTTTCTAATTTTAATTTAATCTAATCTAATTAATTTTAATCAAATTAAAATTAAAATTAAAAACAACATTAAATATGAAAATAAAATTAACACATGAACTTTCTTAAAGAAGAATTGTTAGCCTAATTACAATAAATAAGATTTCATTACAATAGGTTTTATATTCTATTCATTTTTTTTTCTTTTTATATAGACTTCGCAATACATTATATATAAGATGTTATTAGGTACATTTTATTATATGTAAATATTCGACTCCATTTTCTAAACAAAAAAACTGATTTGTAAGTGCTATGGCCTAATGTAGATCATCAGTCTTGGTGAAGAAATCCATAAAGGATACTTTTTTTTTAAATAGCAACCACCTTTTAATACATTCCATTTCTTGGTTGTTGTTTTTCATCATTATTATAATCATTAATTGATTTAAGAAAAATTTCGTCAGCAGCTAAACAATAAACTTTGTACATATTCATTTCGCGTAAAATGAAAAATACAATCAACTGTTTTTTCACTTATTTTTCTTTAACTAATTATTAAATTTTTTTAGATACAATATATTGGATTATACGAAGGAAATAATGGAATGTATGAATCGCAAGTAGCGATCAGCACCTATTTTCAACGTAGCATTTATGATAAGAACAATTGATTTTCGCTGATATATGTTTTAAATAAAAGGACACATATTCTCAAATATTAATTATATGGTAATTAGATCTTTATAAATATTTGAAATGATTTTCGAGCCACGAGCGTCACCTCAAAAATGAAGCATAGAAAATGTGCGTATAATTTGGAGAATAAAAGATCCCCGATTAAAATTAAAATTTTCTTTCACATTTTGTACAATACAATTTAATTGATAAAAATTTCACACAAATATTACGTTTCAGAAATATATAATATTTATGAGATTTATTAAATATTATTTTTCCTTTTTCGAATTGAATTGAACCTATGATACTTTAAATGGTAATCAATAAGTACCGTAGAAAAATCGGTTTGATAATATATTTATAATTAATACAGATTTATGATAAATGAACATCTCTCAAAAGCATCATGACACAACATTTCTAAATTCGTTTAATAGTTTTTTTCATAAATACTTTTCTTTTTTAAGAAATATTTGTTCGAAAACAACATACATTTTGTTCATCAAGTACGCCAACAGTATATGCATATTTTACAATCTTAGTGCCTAACTCTTGGTCCATCTACAACATAATTAATTAATTCATTCATCGATAAATTAATCTAATATTTTGATTACAATCAAATAAATTGTAGCATTACGTCATAGAAATGAACATAACGTAGGTAAAATTAATTGTAATGAATTTTAAATAAATGCTGCTTTTTTAATTGAAATGTTTCATTTTTGTTAACATGTTCTTTTCTTTCATTTTTTTACATTTACTTTCCAAATATTGCACACAAATTCTAAGCACACAAAAAAAATGAAAAAGAACAATAACAGGCAAGACACCATGCATTTCATTTTTTTTTTTTTTTTTATATTAAACAGATGAGGATTTAGATAAATAATCAGACTGATAATAATATCAACGCGTTGATTGTACCTTGAAGTTAAAATACTATCTAAGGACAGCGTTCCTTTTTATTTTTTTTTCTTCTTTAATAATTATCATAAATATTTTATTACTCGATTAAAAAAATTGTATATTCAGTCCTAAACTTAGAGCAATAATTCATTATTCGATGGAAAAAATGGATGCTTACAGACGGATATTATTTTAATTAACGATATACTTGTTACTATTTTTATGTCTTCCGATCTACACAATATATTTTTAAATCTTTTATTTAATATTTGTCCTATATGACACAATGCTTTGAACACTATGGTAGGTAGAAATGCTTAACGGGCATAAAATATGTGTATAATTAAATCTACCATTTAACACTACTCTTTTTAATACGAGAATATAAACAGCGAATGTCGTAAACGTCGTTATCATCGTCGTTATCATCATCGTTATCATCATCATCATCATCATCATCATCATCATCATCATCATCATCATCACCCCCACCACCACCACCATCATCATCATCATCATCATCATCATCATCATCATCATCATCATCATCATCACCATCATCATCATCATCATCATCGCTATTTTTAAAAACTACGATTACTTGTATTTTATTTCATATTTTATATTTTATTTTATTTTATTTTATTTAGTCATGTCTGTTTAAGATAGTTCATCATTTTTATTCATTAAATTCTTGTCGCTTATTATTTTTTAATGGGCATAAATTAATGATGAATAATAATTATCATAATAATTCATCTTCTATACAACCCTTGAAAAATACACCGAACATAATTCTTATTTTCTCCTTCTTTGTTTTCTTTGTGAATATAGGACGATAGTTAAGTGCAAAAGTGAAAAAAGTTCAGTGCAAGCAATATTTCATTATCGCCTCCATATAATTGTTTTATCAGATTCAATATAATCGTTCTGTCATTTTTATGGAAGAAGACAACCGTACAGATTAGTCACCTTTTTCTATAGTGTTTCAATGCTTCTATGATGCAATATATTACACGCTCTGCATGTTATCTAGTCCAAATATCATTCATCCAATTATCATTTAATTCTTCATTCGGTAAAACTTTCAATTTTCTTAATGCTTCGAGATAAAACGTTAATTCTAAAGTAACCACCCCATGTTGTGGACCACCATTATTCACTATATTCATCTTTACTAATTGCTCCCTAAGTTTTTCTTTGAACGACGTATTTACTGTGCGATAAAGTGATTCGACTTCCGCCGGTGGTAAAATCCCGGAGACAGCTTCATGAAGCTTGATGAGATAACTGTAAATAAAAAATGGTTATATATTTAATAATTAACAAATTGTATCATCAATGTATACCATGTTGCTTTTTTTTGGTATTTTAATTTAATTTTTTTAAACGTTTTTTATTGTTAAATTTACCTAGAAATATTTCTAAATGATTTAGATGGCACAGGTGGTCTTGCATTCCATTTTGATATTTGACCACCTAGTAAATTGTCAACAATAGTTAAAATTTTTCCTTCAATCTCCCTTATATGAGCCTTTATATCCCTTTCTACGCTATCTAATAACGCCACTCCACCACTTACACTTGGTATACCTACAACTCCACGATTAGGATGTCGTTCTGCGAGATCTAAATAGAAAAGGGGATTAAATGTTATTTAATTAGGATGACTAAATAAATAAAATATAACTAGAATATAAATTGTTACACGAGATAACAATACTATTGATTCTTTCATCATCGCACCTTGAAAATGTTTCTTAATATTTGGCATAAACCACAAAATAAGTTTTAGACTTCGTGCTGCTAATACAAGAATTGTACTCGTTATAGTTTTTAAACCTGCAACTTGCATTGCCCCAGCACCCAAAACCAATTGACAACACCGAGAATTATAATGTCGTAATAATTCTGCTAATTGTCGTCCAATAGTTCCTGACAATGTTACTAACTCACTGCTAGTTCTGTAAATATACGAGTAGTATATTATAAATAATTATGTATATAAGAAAATATATAATTATGTATACACGAACATACCTGCAATATTCATGTATCATTTGCATGAGCATTAAAACAGTAGCAACGACTGCAAATCTTTCTTCTCCAACTATAATGAACGATTCAGTACTATCATTTTTTACGTCATCATCTCGTTTAAATGGACCAGGCGGAAATTTATTTTCTTGATAAATATAAGTTACCAATGATTGGAATTCAGGTGGAACATCAGCCTGTTTCCATCTTTCAGATTCTAATAAGAGAGTAAGTCTTGATTTACGTTCTGCATGAAATTTTTGTACAAACTTGATTGCTTGTGCCTTAAAAAAATGTTCCCAATTAAATATAAATAAATATATATATATATATTAACAATAGAAATATAATAATTGATTTCAAAATTCGCTACCTTGAATGCAAATCGCAATTTACTACATTGTTCACCACAAAGTTTTTCGCATACTTCTGTAAATTCTTCCACTATATTTGCCAATTGACAAACTTGAGTGGTCGTTGCTTTGTCGCTTAGCCAAAATGTTTTTTCGACTAGATTATAATTTAACAAACTTTCAGATATATTATCTTCTTCACTGCACAATTTATCTTTTTCATTAGGAAATTGCTTTTTGAAGAAAAAACTTTCTGCGGAAAGCATATTCCCCAGACTTTCTTGGCAGGAATAGCAAAGACTTATAAGCATATTAGTAAGTGCTGTAGTTACATGAATATGTTCACTTTTTGTCAATAAACGATCAGGTATAGATTCATCATATGAACCATCGATCATATATCCAGCAGATAAATCTACAGTGTCACGCATTACATCATGAACAGCCTATATTACAGATATCTTGATTTATAAATTACATATAATATATTATTATTATTAATAAAAATAATATATTCTTAAAATGTGTATATCTTACCTTGACACGTACTAGCAATTTGGTTAGAGAATGTATCGTATTGTGAAGAAATGTTAACCTTTCTGCATGGGAAAGACCACCAACTTCGAGAGCTGCTGCTTGTTGATCACTGCAACAATCGCTTGCTGCAAGAGCTTCTATAACTCTTTGCTTAATTATAGCTCGGATGGTAGTAGTAGCCTCAAATATGTAAGTTTCCACAAAGTGCAAATGCTTTTGACGCAGTAGTCCAGAAATGATGGAAACAAGTTTATCCTGTTCGTTGAGGATGTACAAATGATCTCACTGGGAAGATGGACGATAGATTGTTTGCTACTCACTAAAGCTAAAATACTTTTCGCAAAAATAATATTTACTTACTGGATCCAACACAATATCTTCTTCGTCTAATGGTCTATTTAAATCAGCAGTAGCATATTTTTGAAATTCTGTTGTAAGCATTTTATTTACAAGCTTTTCCATTTCTGTTAATTGAGAACTTAAGTGCCTACATATATATAAATTTCATTAAAATACTTAAAGTTAATATAATTAAATAAGCATAAAATTTATATTGTAAAGGTTTACCGAAAGCTATGCACTCCATTTAATTCTTGTAACAAAATCTCTTGTGTCGTAGATATAAGATCTAATGCTGCAACGTAGTCAGGTGTAGAAAGTAATAATTGTATCATTGGTTGACTTTGATGCACAGTTGCCATTAGCTTCAATTTTTCGTATACTAAAAATCGATTCGTCCGAGCTCTTTCTAATCTAATGAAAAAAAAAATTACTAAATTAAATATCCCAATACTTAGATAAAATGCAAAAAAATACTTACTGTAAAACTTTAAAAGAATTTTTGACTAGATATTTGTCAACTTGGTGAATATTTTCTCTTAATGCTTTTAATACGGTGATAGTTTGAGAAAGCTGCTCCATTAAAGCATCATGAGAAGTCATTGCATTAAAGAACGCTTGAGATTTAGAAGCTACTTGTTCTGCAATTCTAACTTCTACAGTATCTAAATAGTGACTTAGCTGAAATAAAATGATATAATTATTAATTAATTACTATGTATAGGTGTAATTTTAATTTATCAAATTCACCTTCTCCTGCATCTGTTCAATATGCGATACTACATTGTATTCCTTATCTAATAGGCCCTCTTTTGTGAATGGAAATACTGCTTCAAAATTTTCTTTCTGTGAAAGATCTAAATTTGGTGTTAAAAATATCTTTGGAATATTAGATAAACCAAACTGACTTTGATCTGAAAATATTTATAACTCAAAATGAATTTATATTATATAAATGACAAATATACACTATAATGTAAATTATAATTACAAAATTGTAATTGCTACCACAAATCGTAGCCCAGAACTTATTTTTCACAATAATTAGAGTCACAGATACATGATACCGATAATGAATGTATTAAAGGTATTGAAATAATTTACCTATTGATTTAACTCTTCTCAAATTTGGAAAATTTTGTAATAATTCATTTGGAATAGTCGGTCTACTAATTGCATTACTATTCATCCGTGAGTGTTTACGATATCTCTACAAATAAATTCAAACAATTAAATCTAGAATATAGTTCTATCGAATAAAACAAATTAAAGTTTTAAAAAGAACATTGTCTTGCTTACACGTGCAAATTTTTTCAGGTATATTTCAAAATGATGCATAGTAACTTCCGGAAGATAAGGGCTCTTGGGAATGTCCACCTTTTCTACGAAACTATCACCCCATGTACGAGTAAAGAAATTATTTTGTTTCCCTTTAAACGGATCATTTAACACAGCGGATAGATTTTGTATTGCTGAATAAACAGTCCAAGTAGAGCCAGGCTCTAGAATCTGACCATTACTTTTACATTGTTGCTGCATCGTTGCATGCTTTGTCGCATGGGCTACATAATCTTTATCCGAAACACCTTCCACTGGAAGACTAGTACATACTCCATTATAACCGTACAAGCATACAAATGATCCACCTTCCCTTGAACAATGCTGATCTCTCAAATGTCTAAAATTCATATATTAATACCAAAAAAATGGAAATACATATAAAAGAAGAATTAACAATTATATAGTAACTAATAAAACTTAAGGTAAATAAGAAATATCAAAAATATAATAAACAAAACTTGAATGTACGGTATTTAATTAAATATAAAATAATCAAACGACTATATTATAACAATGCATTAGATTAAAAGGAAATTGGACAAGTTGACCCACCTAATGAAATCTTGAATGTGCTTAAACGTGAGGTTAGTGCAATATTCACATACTAAAATCGTAGACACCGAATCGGATGTCCTTACGATTTTCGCCATTTTACATTAATCACCCTAACTAATCTTTTTAACATTGCCGTGATTAATATATCTTCCCTTATGTCATCGAATGCTCTCCAACGACATTTTACATATGTACAACTATTTAACGTACGCAGTCAGTACACGTCCTCAGTTACATACGTTTTACCACGCAGAAATAGCAAGCTGTCCAACTGAAAGACACGATTATCTATATCGTAATACTGTACTAACTGTTATCTCTTTTCAATGAAAAAGACAACATGCTGATTATGTTTATTAGAGCAAGACGAACAATGTATTTTAGCTATCTATATATATGTGTATGAGTTGCAATAAGAAAATTTACTAAAAGTTAGGGTTTTTACCATTCACATGACATGCTCTATGTTATCGACAATTCACTAGACATAATAGCTTACAATTAAATGACAGTGTATATTATCGAATAAAAAATATCCGATTAGAATTCGATTAAATTCGATAATTTTGAATGCTTTTTTTTCCTTTAAGATAGTTAAAATAGATGAAGAATAATGAGTAATATTTGTATATACATGAATCATCAGTTGTAAAAGATTTGTAATATATATGGTGTCCATGGCTGAACAGCTGTTTATTTTGAGGTTATGAAATAGTTGACAATTGCATCAAAACAGTCTGGAATAAATATAAGACAAAGAATATGGACAACGAACAAGAGAATGCACTCAAATTGGAAGGTCATGCTGAAAGAAAATACATTAGATTTCAAAGTCTTAAAAAGGCATCTAAATGTTCAAGCAACCGCATCGAAAATTTGGATATAAATCAGACCGATTCACAGCAATTGAATAATCAAGATGTTACAGGAAAAAAAGGTACTCTAGATTTAACTGTATCAAATACTCGAAGTTTAATTTAATTTTAATTTAATTATTATTAATTCAAAATATTGAGAATCATTTTCTATTAAAGTATAATAAGTTATGTCCATACACTTATAACTTTCAATATGTTTACATTTTAGGTGTGTCTTTAATGAATTTTGTACAGACAGAACTAACAAGAGGATATCAATTGGAATACGATGAGGAAAGATTTTCAGCAAGAAGAGAGAAGATCTATTCGTTTATGAAAATTCCTAGAGAAGTTGAAAAATTTATGATTTATGGCTTTCTTCAGGTATTACTTCATTTCTTCCAATAATTTCTCAATGCGAACAAGTACATATAATATTATTTCTTTTACAGTGCGCAGATTCATTTTTATTTGTTTATACATTTTTACCATTAAGGTTTATAATGGCATTGTGGGCTGTTGCTACGAGACCTCTTAGGCACTGGTTAGGGTAAATGCATTTTTGTTCATTATAAATAATTCTATATAAAATATATGTGTGTATCTTCTTATATTAAAAATAAACATTTAATATCATTATTTTAATTTACAGAAGTAAAAATCTTCGCGCCAAAAAAAAAGAAAGACTTTTGAGGCCAGCTGAAGTATGTGATCTATTGAAAGGAGTTGTAGTGTTAGGCTGTTGGGCAGCCACGTGGAAAGTGGACACATCAATGATGTACCACGTAGTTAAAAGTCAATCAGTAATAAAATTATATATTTTTTATAATATGTTAGAAGTAGGAGATCGCCTTTTTAGTGCATTTGGTCAAGATACAATAGATGCATTACTTTGGACTGCCACAGAACCACGTTCTCGAACACGATCAACTCGTTCTCAACACTTAGGAACGTTGCCCCATCTTCTCTTTGCTCTAGCTTATGTGTGTATCCTTTTTTTAAAACAATAATACTCTGGTATTTTTTGTGATATAAGAACAATTTTATGAGAAACCTTAACTAAGTATTTTATCACGAATATCAGTGTTGCATAGTATACTGGTGCTATTTCAAGCTACTACTTTAAACGTAGCTATAAACAGCAGTAACAAAGCTCTTCTAACAATAATGATGTCTAATAATGTAAGTTAACTGTAAATATGAAGGTGGATTGTTAGGCTCAAAATTATACAACCCACTTACGTATTTATTTTCTGTTAAAATAATTCAAAAAATATGTAGTTTTTACTTTTATTTTCAGTTCGTCGAATTGAAAGGTTCTGTTTTCAAGAAATTCGATAAGAATAATTTGTTTCAATTATCTTGTGCTGATGTAAGAGAACGTTTCCATTTAACCATGCTACTATTAGCTGTTACATTACAAACAATGAAAGAATATGCTTGGCGAGCTGATAGATTAATTGTACTGCTACCTGATTGCGTTATGTTGCTATTAGCAGAAGTTCTAGTTGACTGGGTTTGTATAGAAAATATGATTCTAATATATGAGGCCTTCATTTGCCAAATCAATTGACTCCACAAACAAAAAGTATAAAAAACTATTGAAGAAATCTATTTTAAATATAAAAAGTTAAATATTGATTAAATGCTTTGGTAATAACATTTGAAACAATTCTATAAGTGAAGTTAATCTCTTTGGTCTGTGAACAACTCATATGAAACCTGTATTTACATATATTTTCTATTGATTAATATTATAACTAACATAACTATTATATTTGTATTTTAAGGTGAAGCATGCATTCATCACTCGTTTCAACGAGTTAAGTTCGACTGTCTACAGGGATTATACAGTCAGTTTAGCATACGATATGGCTCAAACAAGACAAAAAACAGCATTTTCCGATCCATCGGATTTGATAGCTCGAAGAATGGGTTTTATTCCATTACCTCTTAGCGTTGCTATGGGCAGAGTATTGTGTACAACTTTAACACCATCTGCAAGACCAGCAAATTTTATTTTATTAATACTGGCGTATTTAATACTTGTAGCCTTACGTATTTTAAATAGTCTTATTATATTAGGTAGAGCATGTGATTTAATATCTTCTCATACACATGCTAACAAAAATGATGCAGGCGAAGAATCACAGGTTCAAAATTTCAATGAATCAAACGCAGATATAAAAAATCCAAATTTGGCAACAGCCATATTTTCGAATAGTGCTGTTAGTTTAAACAACGTATGTCTAAACGATGCTCTACTCAATTCAGATGATAACGACGAAGTAGATAAGTCTGAAGATAATTCGGCTATAGTAGCATCTTCATCAACACCAGCTAAAAACTTTTTAAGAAGTGAAAGTGAACCTTTGCTTCCTCAATGACAGCTTTTTTTAGTATAATTGTAGCGTCAAACTTTTTTTTTGTTTATAAATAATATATATATATATATCTATATATAAGTAATATAAATAAAAATGTATATACATATTGTATATATACTTATGTGTGTGTACATGTTATTCTCAGGTTTTTTATGATATGGATTAAATATAAGTATTTAAAAAAATAGAAAAAAAGAAAGTAAAATAAAATTCTAAGATACTTTAATATGAATTATTTCATTTCAATATATCTCATCTTTTTTATTATATCTGTAATTAATATATAAATGAATTCAGGTATAATTCTTGACCAATTTTGATGAATAATGCTTTAATAATACATTTCGTTTCTGTGAACTTATAATATATAAACAATAACGTTTTGAAGTATGTACATCAAAATTACAAACATGTAGAAAACTATTAAGATTTAAATTAAAATTGTTGTTTTAAAATTTTTCTAAGTAGGTATAAATCATGTTATGAAAAGAAGTATTAGATATATAAAAGAAGAAGAGGTAGATACAAGATTAGAATTTTCAGCTCTTGTTAGACTTTAAAATGATATTTTCATTAATTAAAAATTTAAATAAACATCTTTAAAATCTATGGTACATTCTTCAAATATTTTCTAACAGAACAATAAATAATAGCATTTATTATTAAATTTTTGTGTGTACTTTTAGAAATGCATTTATAAATATATTTTAAAAAGTAATAATTTAAGATGCTCAAATAGAAGTGTCAGAAATAGTATAGTATAGTAGTTTTTTATTGGCTTCAAACTTTTACAAGCATACGGCTATTTCACCATACAGAAGCGCTCTTTACGGAAGCGCGTACAAAACCAAATTACAAAAGTATAAAATAAGACACAGTTACCATCATTATAATAATTACACACTAAATTCGAAAGCTGCTAAGTTAGACTATTTTCCTACAATAATTATTAAATATTAACATCAATTTTCGAGATAAAATTCGATAGAATATTTATTACCTTTTTATCCATGGTTGAAAGAAAAGGAGTGATGGAATAAGGACTATACATTTTAATATTTTGCAATTCTTTTAACATAATTTTTCGCTGTTGTTCATATATATCGCATTGCCAAAATATATGATTAATTGTGTCAGGCTCCTTTCCACATTTACATAAGTCACTGTCAACTATATTTAATTTATAAAGGCTACTGTTTAAACACGTACGATTGCACCTCAAGCGATTTATAACGACAATAGATTTTCTCGATAAATTTGGGAAATATTTAAACCATGGTCTTTTATGGTTTTTATAATAATACTTAAAATAAAATATACCTTTACTTTCTCCTTTCTCCTAGAGTAGTTATTTGTTGAATATTCTCTATATCACAGCTTAGTTTGTACACGTTAAATATATCAGTATAAGGTATTTCTATATTTACCAATTTGCCGTTACTGGCTGCAGACTTAGCGTGTTGATCAGCCATTTCATTTTCAGCTATCCCCTTATGGGATGGAATCCAGATTAATTGTATGTTTTTACCTAAGACTTTACTACAAGATAAATTATATCTTAATTGTATAATTAGTGGAGATATATTATTTGAATTTTTGCTATTTAGGGATTTCAAAGCACTTTCCGAATCAGTGAAAATCCTAAAATTATTATCTTCACTTCGGTTAATAATTTCTACACATTGACTAAGTGTAATATACACCAACAGTCAAATTTTTTAAAAATAAATTTCTTCTAAATTTTGCATTTAAATTGCTCTTCTTAAGATAAAAATAAAAATTTAAATTTAAGGCACTTAAGCCTTCTCAAAAAAACTCTTTATGCACGATTCGAGATAAGAAAACAAGTCCTGGGCGTGCTGGACCCATAACCTGAAGGACTGTGATAATATGTGGAAATTAGGAAGGATAGCTGTACTAGTAATAATATAACACTCGTGGCGTTGTAAGACTGTGGAACATGCTACGAAACAGATGCAGGTATGTTATGATATACAAAGTTTATACAAACAAAGTTAATCTTAAATTTAGAAAAAAATCAAATAAATTGATTGCTTATACTTAGAAGATCTGAGCAAAGAAACAATGAGTGAGCAGAATGATAAACATATGCTCGAGAATACAGAGACTGTGGATACTCCACCTGACGCGTCAGACAATAATACAAAAACAGGGCCTGGAGTATTTGAAAGCCCAACAATGTCAACAATTACACTTCCAGTTACGATGCAATCAAATACTGTTGCAAATCAGACGAGTACACCAACAACTCTGTCAAACACCATGGCAGATCAAACGATTACCACAACAACTCAATCGAGTGGCAGCAGTGATGGTATCTCAATCACTGAACACAACAGCAGCAACAGATTTCACAGTTTACTCAAGAATTACAACAGGTCTTATATAAACAGAGAGAAAACATTGAGCTTCAAATTTTTGCTCAATCAAAAAAATTAATGCTCAAGCATCAAAATTTTGATGAGTCACATTCAAAAGACATCTGAAAATTTCCTTGCTATTGAGCAGCTTCGAATGCAAAATGCTCGAGGTAATTTACTTAACTCGACCACTTCCCTAGATGAAACCCCAACACAAGCGGACACTGGAGTGAACACCAATTTAAGCCCACAAGACATTAATTTAGAAGTAACTAAGGCCCTTAATGATTCAATTACTGTTTTGAAAACTACAATAGAATTAAACAAAAAATCTCAAAACTTTCAGATACCAAGAAACTACACTCTTAATCCAAATAGTGACGTTAACATCTGGATGGATAAACTTAGGTCTGAATTGTCATCAAAAGATCTGTTAGACGTTATTGACCTAACGGTAATTGGTCCTGATAGCTTAAATGAACAAGAAATAATTAAAAGAAAGCAAGCAATAAGAGAAATCATAACTAGCCATCTAGAAGATAAATACTACAAAGGGTTCTAACAATCACAGACCCTACTATGGTAATAAAAAGTCTAAAAGAAGCCACAATGGTCGAAAACAATGTCACACACACTTCAGTTAGAACGAAGTTGTACCAGATGAGGCTGCAACCCAAGAAGAGTATTGATGGGTTCTGGAATAAATTCGACAACACCATTGTTGAATACGAGAGCTGTGATAACGCAGTACCTCTTACAGATGAGGAAAAAGGTCAGCCTTTTATCAAGCTGTAATGCAATTCCAGAAGCCCGAACTGCAGAACTATTGCATCGACAAATAACAGGGAAATCAATGACTCTGGTTGCGTTGAAGTCTCATTTACTGGAACTTGAGGCTGAGAAGAAGTCAGAAACTTCTCAGGAGCAGGGTGCGAGCGTAAATCGAGCAAAACGGTTTAAATCGAACCATGACAAATATCACAGATGCAATAAGACGGGTCACTACATCAAACAGTGTCCTTTAAAAGAAACTGGCGAATGGTATTGTTATTTTTGTAATACCAAAACTAATCACAATACGAGTTGTTGTCCAAAAAATGAAACAGCCAGTCAAAATTCAGGAAGGTCTGACTACAGACGTGGTCGTGTTTGTGGAAGAGCTAGAGGTAGAGATGCTTTTAGAAGAGGTTCGACTTTCAGAGGAGATTTCAGTGGTAAATCCAGAGGACATACCAAAACCAAGCAGAAGACGTCCAAAAAGCAAGCAGCTCCACCAAAAGATGGAAATAAACAGAAGCCACAAGCACGACAAGCAGGTATGAATTTTGAATGTATAAATAATGTAAGTAATATTACGTTTATTGCGGACTCAGGTGCTACTGAGCATATAATTAACAAGAGCTTGTTTTTGAGTAATTGTAAACATTGCACAGGCGAGGTAATTAAAAGTGCAAATAAAAATAAGTCAGCTGACATAGTAATAGATGGAATCGGTGACCTTTACTTAAAATCAAAACTTACGGGGGTATTCCGGTCTAGAAATTTGAAAAAATCGATTTTCTTTTTCATATTTTCAAAGCTTAACCTTTGAGGAATATGTCCTTGAAATGATTTTTCAAAATTCAAATTATTTTCGGAAATATAGCTGTTTTAGTAACGCAGTAATCTGTATCCTACTCTTATTACGCGAAACTTTGAACGCGTTTTTCTCGAAACTGCTTTTTTGAGGTGGTTGACATGATATCTCAAGTTCTACTCGACCGATTCCCTTGAAACTTGGTGGGAATCTTCTTTATATATCGCTCTATCGGGTGACTGTTGGATTTTAAAAAATTTTAATTTTTAGTATTTTAAAAAAATTCGAGAAAGTAAAAAAAAAAGGGGTCAAAAAAAATTTTTTTTCATACCGACGCCATTCTGTGAATTTTTTTGTGTGGCTAAGGGTCACCTAATAGCAACATCTTTACTGATTAAGAATTTTTCAAATTTTTGTGTTTCAGATCACTACAAGGTTGGAATCATATCAACCAGAGTGCACCGTTTTTTTTTGTAGCCCCACTTCACCGGCCAGTATTTCTACGAATTTGTTATTTTTTTTTTCACGATTTATTTTGTATTCTTAAAATGTTAATAAACATCGTATAAAAAAATGGGTACTAAAAATGTTTTTCATTTTTTTTTATCTTAGCTTGAAAAATGCCTAAAATTTAGGCTTCTAGACCAGAATATCCCCTTAATAAAATAAAATTAACAAACGTATTATCTGCAGAAAATATGGCAAATAATTTAATTTCTCTTAGACGATTTGCAGATGCAGGTTTAAGAATATTTCTAAATGATAAAAAATTAGAAATATTCGACAAAGAAACAGGTGAAACATGTTTGATAGGAAAGTATGTTAAACCTAACTGGCTTGTCACCTTTGAGGTGAAATCTGATAAGGAATATAATAAGCCAGATTATACAACGTATTTTTGTACTGCTGAAATTATTTTTCCAAATGATTTTTCCGAACAATCTCAGACGGTACCTGTTGTTTTAAATTTGCAAAAGATGGAGGGAGATTTAGATGTTCTCTCTCATAAATCAACACCATCTGAGGTTGGGAGGGAGAGTCAGAAGAAAAACCTTTCGGAGAAAGATAGAAGTAATTAAGAAGCTAAGTCACAGACTTTATACTAGATGAACAAACT